GACAGAGGACAAGGAGAGGGCAGCAGGTGGCCAAGAGGCATCTCAGCTGGGGGAGCAATGGGCAACTGGATGAGGGGCTAATGGGAGGTCCTCACCAATAGTTCCCCATCTGGTTTGACTGTAAGACGATATTAGTAGTTACTAGAGGAGAGAAAAAGCTGTGCCCTACAGTCATTCTCAGGAGAAAGGGAGGACTGACTCATATCAGAGGAAGTGGACCCCAGAGCACACAATGACCAGGGAAAGTGGGATCAGGACGGTTGGAGGAAACTTGTGAAGGTTGAGGTCAACCAGCTGGTCCCACTGCAACCTCGCCCACACACAGCACAGCAGTGCCAGATCCCACTGCTAATAATGGATGGTGCCTTCAGGTGGGAGAAGAGTTCACCTTCCTCCCCAAGTGCCATGGTGCACAGGAAGGAATCCGGCACAGGCAGTAGAGGGGGAGGAGAGGGAGTGGGCAGCAGGAAAGCATCCAGGGCACATCCTGGGCTGGTCCAGGGAGAGGGTGAGGTGGGGTCAGTTCCACAAAACGGGAGAGAGCTGAGAACAAGCCATGGCTTAGGGAGCTCACCTTCCTTGACCTCACCACTAAGTGCCAGGAACAGCTGATGCTGGATTCACTCTGCCTTTCCACCAGGATTTTTGGACAATAAAATAAAATCACTGCATCTGAGGTGCTGAGTGATGGATCTGATTGATCAGGTGTTTGATCAACTGCCCTGGGGTCAGCAGAGGAAGGAGCCCAGGGCAAGGCCAGGGTCTGAATGGGACTATTGACTGAGACTGGGAACAGCACTCTATGAGAGCCGAGGTGACCAGTGCAGCCCTGGCACGTGGTTGTGGGCCCAGTGGAGACTCTGGTAGAGTGGAGGACAGGGGCTGAGGCCCAGCAGGGGCAGTGGGTGGAGAGGCAGGGCTTGGCACTGGCAGGTGACAATGATCGGGGAAGCCAGGGGCACAAGGGCCCTAAGGTGACGACTGAAATGAGATGATGAGGGGCCTGTGGCAATACCAGATCTGAAATTATGCCACAGAGCTATAGCAACACAAAGAGCATGACAATGGCTTCAAAACAGACACCAAGTCCAACAGAACACCACAGAGGACACAGAGACAAATCATCTGCCTAGTTCTGTCTGACATTTGACAAAGGGGCCAAAAGTATATCTTGGAGAAAAGACAGCCTTTTAAACAAATGGTGCAGGAAAATTGGTTAGCTTTATGTAGAAAATGAAACTAGACTCCTGTTCTCATCCTGCACAAAACTGAAACTGAAATGGCTGAAAGTCTCAGGAATGACACCAGAAACTTTATGACTGCTGGAAGGAAACATGGAGTCGACACTCCATCATAAACACGCTGACACCAGCTTCCCTCACAAGACCCCAAGGCACCAGATATAAAACCAGGCGTCAATAAGTGGGGGGCTATCAAACTAAAAAGTTTCTGCACAGCTAATGGAACAAGAGAATAAAGACAGACTACAGAATGGGAGAAAATCTTGGCCAGCTGCTCCTCTGATGGGGGACTAGTACCCAGGAATAAAAGGAACTAAAAAATCTTGACACACACAAACAGAGAGAGAGAGAGACACACATACACACATACATGCACACATGCACGCACACACAGATCCCAATCAATAATGGGCAAAAGAACCAAACAAACTTCTCAATAGAAGAAATGCAAATGGCCTGCAAATATATGAAAAAATGCTCCACATCTTTGGCATCAGGAAAATGCAAATCAAAACTACACTAAAATTTCCTCTCTCTCCAGTCACAATGACATAAGAATATGAACAATAATAAATGCTGGTGAGGATGTGGAGAAAAGGGTTCACTTGTACATTTTTGGTGGGACTGCAAACTAGTTCAACACTCTGAAAAGCAGTATGGAGGCTCCTCAAAAACTAGCGATGGAACCACCACATGACCCAGCTATCTCGCTCCTTGGTGGATCTCCCAAGAGATCTAAATTCAGCACACTGTCTCGATACAGCCACCTCAGTGTTTCTACCAGCACAGTTCACAAGAGCTAAATGTTGGAATCAACCCAGATGCCTGACAATAGATGAGTGGATTAAGAAATCGTGGTGTATACATATGCTGGAATTCTAATCAGCCATAAAAAAGAATGAAATGATGGCATTTTGCTGGTAAATGGATGGAAATGGAGAACATCATGTTAAGTGAAATAAGCCAACTCAGAAACTCAAAGGTCAAATGTGTTCTCTCATATGAGGAAGATAGACTAAAACCAAGGGAAGAGGGAGAGAAGAATAGGGTAACACAAAGAGCCAATCGAATATGAATTAATAGATGAGCAAAAGGAAGTCGAGTAGGGCAGAGGAAGGAGAGTGGGAGACGGGAGAGCGATGGGGGAGAAGGGAGGGTCATGAACTGAAATCAATTTCCATACTACTATGTATAACTATAAAGCTCTAATAAAAAAGAAAAAGAAAAAATATCAAGGCCTCTGTGGACATCTTGTTCTCCAGGCTTTTTTTTTCTTTTTCTTTTTGTATGTGGTACTAGCGATTGAATCCAGGGGCACTCTACTGCTGAAGTGCATCCCAACCCACTGTTTTTACAGGGTGACCTTGAATTTGCCTGGCATCCTCCTACCTCAGCTGCCTGAGTAGCTGGGATTACATGTGTTGGTCACCATGATCAGCCCTAGCTTTTTTATTTATTTTGGTGGTGGTACTGGGGATTGAACCCAGGGCCTTGTGCATGTGAGGCAAGCACTCTACCAGCTGAGCTATATCCCCAGTTAAATCCTTAGCTTTTAAAGGTCCTAATTAGTGCAGTGCTCCACTTCTCCATTCAGGACATTAAATGACTGTATGTAATCGGTGTTGACAAATTGATAAATTGTTGGATAACTCTGCATTGGGAGAGCTCCAAGTTCCGTCATGTCAACTTCCTTGTTACTGAATTCAGATCCTGACATTTCACTGGGATTGAGGTTTGAAAGGGTCTTTCTTGTACCTCTTATGCTGTTGAGTGTCACCATAAGTATAGGCTGCTATTTTTTTTTTTTATGAAGGAGAAAAGTTTTGAAGTTATTTGATATTTTCTACTATGGCTAAAATTGTCCAGAATTGCACACTTCTCCCTGAATGAGCTATTGAAACTACCCCACCCACTCTCTTATTATGATCTGGTGTTTTATATATTATTTATTTACTTATGATCTATTTTTTATGTTCTATTTATTTTTAATGAAAAAGAGCACACACACACATTTTGTTTTACCAGCAATTGGTAATAGGGATATAGAGGGAGAGGGAAGAGGACAGGGAGGACAGCGATGCCCAGCTGACTGTCCTCTGTACCCTGCTGTCTGCTGCCCTCCCAGCACAACCCCTGAATGTCGGATGCTCCTCTGCACCCCTTGCAGGCCTGGGCTGAGGCTCTTCTGTTTCCCGCAGGCAGAAAGGTCAGAGAAAGACCACAGTGCAGAGCTTCTCCTGCAACCTGGCCTCTGCCTGGCCCCTTGCCCTCCTCCCACTCCAGGAAACAGCAACCCTGGGCCCCCTAGGGTCTGAGAGTCCTGACTTGACTTTCTCAGAACCCTCACTCCCTCCCACTCCTGGGGCACATCATGGCTGGGCTCCTTTTGACAGTTTCTGAGATCCTGGCCCCTTACTGAAATTATGACCTTGGACAAGTTTTTCATCTGTTAGGACATTCAGGATACTCCTCTGTAAGGTGCCGCTAATGCTCAGATGATACAGTTTTGAGGATGTACTTCAACATAGTATGTGAATTAGCTGAAGTAACAACTCATGTAAAGCCTCTGACACACAGTAGGTACTTAGTAAATACGTTCTTCATGTAAGCCAGCTCTCAGCTGAGGTGTTGCCCTTAGACACTCAAATATGTAGATATGACCTTCCATCATGTCCCGGAGAAGTCCAGAGCCTTCTGTATAATTTCCATCAATTCCTGGGTGTCCAGCTTTCAGGATTATCTCTTATATCTCTTATTGTCCCCTGGCGTGTTGAACCAGGATGCAAAGAAAAACCACCAACTCCAATTTCAACCAAATAAAAGCAAGCCTGGCCAGGGGCTGCCTCCCTCAGAAAAACAGGGCCAGAAGACAGCAAGCAGCTGGTCTGACTACAGGGAAGTCCTTATAACACACAAAAACAGTTATCAAAAATGGGGGGTGGCTTGGGAACTTAGAGATAACAGGGTTCTGGTAAGTGAAATACAAGGGCAGATAGCAGGTTTAGGATCTACATCCTTTAACGTCTAAAGGCGGGGAGCAGACTCAGATCCAACATCAGAGTTAACGAGGGGCAGCTGGGATTCAGGGAGGGTTGTCATCTGGTCAAGGAGAGCCAGGCATGGGGAAGTTCAAAGCAAGGGCAGGAATCCCAAGGAACTGTTTAAAACATCCAATTATGGTCAGGCCAAATAGAAATCTTGGTATTTTACAGTAAAACAGAAATGAACTTTCATGACTTTGTGACGAGATGGCTCCCAATCTTAACATGGAATTAGGCTGTTTCATTAGTGCTCCATGAGCCTGATCTTTGTTTCTCTTCTATTTGGCTCTTGGTGGCAAACACACTGTTGTGCAGGCTCCTCTGTTGTTGCTTTTTGTCTTGTGGTGCTGGGGATTGAACCTGGGGCTCTCTGTGTCTTTGGATACCACATCACACCTTAGGGTAGGATGGCTGGCACTTTGAAAATGTGAGACGTGGTGTTGTGAAAAGTCCCTGGCACCTGTCAGCTGGAATATCTATTATCTGTCCTTTGTCCCCTTAGTTTCCAGCCATTATCCTGCTTCCTCTTTAGGATCCGGCCCCCCTAACCCTGCCCCCACCCCGCAATCTAAACAGTTCAGAGGCCTGCAGAACAGAGGGAAGGGCTTGTCTTTTCTTGAGCACCATTAAGAGCTCACCATGAGGCTCACCACCCTCAAAGCCGAGTGCAAATATTTGGTGGTTACCACTCTCCATTACAGTTTGGTGTTTTTTTGACCACAGTTACTCCCATAGGCAACTGACAGTTGAAATTCTTGGAATATCAGAAAATGAATGAGCTATAGAATGGGGTAAGTGCCGAGGAAAGCCATGGAACTCAGGAGGGCTTAGCTCAGGCTTGTGAGAGGGAGACTTTTGTGCTGGCCACAGGCTGGCACTGGGGATCAGGGCTGCCTGGGCAGAGCTGTTCACCCAGTGGGTGTGGGCAGGAGTGTTTGCCTGAGACAAGCTGGCTCTGCCTGTAGGAGGGGCTTGCCAACAGATGTCAGAGACCAGATGTCCATCCAGGCTCCGATCATTCATACAGTTATTCTGCAATTTCTTAGAGCAAGTGAGGTTGCCTCTGTGAACGCTGGTGGGCTTTTTAATACTGGCCTGTGGCTCTGCCCTCAGAGCAGGGAAGCTCCTCCTCTTGCTGGTTCCCCTTTCGGATGTTTCCTCCCCAGCTGAAGAGGCCGGCAGGCAGCCAGGATGGGACACAGCTCACAGGACCCCCACCTCTGCTGGACCACCAGGCTCCTGGGAGTCATTAGCCTGCTCTGTGAGTAGCTGGATTTCCTGGAAGGGAGGGCAGTTGGGGGTGCTGGGACAGCTGGGACCCTTCAGTCCTGGGGACTGTTAGGCTCTGATGCCTTTGGGAAACAAAGAGAAATCCAGCCGCCCTGTTATAATTCACCAGTGCAGTGTGGGTAGAGCCCAGGATGAACGGAAAGAGCAAAATGGCCTTTTGGTGGTGAGGACCTGGGACCCTGGGCTCGGGCAGCCCTGGCTGCATGAGGGACCATAGCCAGGGAGCTGAGGCCACCTGGGCTGCAGCAGCAGGGAGGGGCTGGAGCTGCCTGGGGAGGGGTATGGAGACAGACCAAGAGCCTGTTCCTGGGGCACAGGGTGAGGAGGCAGCACCCCAGCCTGGGCCCCCAGGGTCCTCAGGGCCTCTGCAGCTCTTCTGTGGAGGCCCCTACTGGAACCCTGGTGTCTGAGCCGGAGGAAGCTCCTCTGGTCTGTGCTCCTTCCCCCCCACCCTGAAATGCCCCTGGCTGGGAGACCTCAGCTGGAACCTTGCTTATCTCATCACTGTTCCTGGCAAAGCCCTGGAAAAAGAGGAGGCACCGTCAATTGAGGAAAGATTGAGCAAACTGAGCAGTATCTGGGGCTCCTGTGCATGGGATGTCATGGAGGCTAAGGAAACAGTGCCCCAGTGTTCTGGGAAGAATGTCCAGTTTCCATGAGGAAGATGCCTGGATTCTCCTCAGCAAGATCAAGAGAACCGAGCGCCATGAAGTCCTTATTTTATAAAAGGACAAGCAGCGGGCTGAGGCTGGGGCTGGGGCTCAGTGGTAAAGCACTTGCCTAGCACATGTGAGTCACCGGGTTTGATCCTCAGCTCCACATGAAAATAAAATAGAGGTTATTGTGTCCACCTACAACTAAAAAAAAAAAAAAAAAAAAGCAAAAACCAAATATTTAAAAAACAACGAAAAGGTCAAGCTGCCTATAAAACTGAGGGTGTCTACGTACCACGTGGCTATGGTTACACTGAACATGTAGAAGGAAACAATGGAGGGTAACACAGGTTTCAGGAGCAGGTAAAATTGTGCAGGAAAATATGCCAGGGGAGAGAGGATGGGAGGTTAAACAGAGGGCTGAAAAATATATTCTGAAAAACAGAAACTGAAAAAATACACTGATGGTGACTATGGGCCACATATCACATTTATGACATAATAGAATGTTTGTATGTAGAAGGAAATCAAAAGCTAACAAACATAACATGACCTACTGAACTGAATTTTGGTGACAGCTTTAAAGGTGTTGATATTAGCTTTTTCTAATTGTACTTATTAGTGGGATTCATTGTAACATCATGTACATAAGATGATTTGTTCCAGATAATTCCCCAGTACTTCCTCTTTTTGTTCTCCCTCCCCCTTCTAACTTTCTCTACTGTTTTGTCTCCTATTTTAATATATGATTATATTGTAATCATACATAAAAGTGGGATTCATTGTGGTATATTCATACATGCATATGGCATAATTTGGTTCATTTTTCTTGTACTATTCTGTTGTGTTCCTTGACCAAACACTCAGGATCACTCCAGGTGAACTGGGCTGCATGAAATCACCACACAGAGACACAGAAATACCTTTTTCTTTGGCTCCTCTGAACTTAGGGGTCCTGGGGGAGAGAGAGAGAGAGAGAGAGAGAGAGAGAGAGAGAGAGAGAGAGAGAGAGACATGATGAACACTTTCATTGATAAGAAGCCATTCAAATTTGGCAAGAGGTCAGGTTTCAGGGGGTTGAGTCTAGAGCTTCATGATGTCTGCTGTCAGCAGGTTGACCAGCATCTAGGGAGGCCATGCCTATCTATGAGCTGTGTGGGGATCATGGCAGAGTGACCTAAGAAAAGACCAGAGTGAGGCCTGCCCAAACAGAGGGGCAATGTCGGTTCAGTCCACTTTGTGTGCTCAGTGCCCACAGTTCACACACACACACCCCATGGCTGGTTGGCCACATCTCCACACTCTCATCACTCAAGGGTAAGGGGCACTCGGTTCTATTTGGCAGCTCCCGATATAGTCTCCCTTTCTTAATTAAAAAAAAAAGGCAATTGGGGAATCATATCTTGCAGTCACTGGATTCTTGGTCCAAGGTCATCATGATCTACTATTGAAACACAAAAAGTTTTGTAGAAAACATATTATCTTAATAACATAATCAACCTGGAAGATCCCGGTTATTATTATTATTCTGCAAACATTCATCAGGAGATTCTTAATCTTTTACAAATTTCATGGGAAACATTGTGTTTGGCCATTGTAACATAAACATTTTTATTTAGCATGGCATTTAAGCCTTTCCACAAACCATAGAGCAGAGGGCTCATTCACAATATTGATGACAGTGGCTTCTAGAGTATTTTAATTTAGTTTTAATTCTTTCATTATCACTTATCTGAGTATGAAGGATCTTGGAAGTAATTTAAGTAATTTAAGCTTGCCTAGGTCTGGTTAATTGACATGCACTTGTTTCAAAGCCTGAACATTAACTACAGCATATTATAGCTCTGAAATATTAGCTGGCAATAACCTGTGATAGAGTAAGATAAGTTGTATTCTTACAGGCTACAGGATATTCATCTTCCTTTTTCTTAATTCTCACATTTAAGGACTCTATTAGGTCTGTCAGTAATATAAATATTTTGAAGGTAGAAGTCAAACATGAAAACATCCTTTTGGGTGCCATCTCACTGAGGGTGAGGGTATTATTACCAATAAACCTCCAGGGATTATGGCATCCTTGCACAATCATGGTTGTCAACTCTGGGAGCCAGTCTAAAATATGCCCAATATCTCTAGACACCTTATGTTGCACTGCCAAGACATTTGCATAATCTATCCTCTTAGCAAAGGTGTCAATTTCTACTGTAGAATGATTAGGGAAACAATATATTGGTGGATATTTTAATAAATAACTGGCCTGTATAGGAAAAATATATTTTAATAATCTTTCTGATAATTGTCCAGATAGGTCAATATAGTCTTCATCTCTAGGACCAGCATGATTGGCTGGTTTAAGTTTCTTATATGTGGTCTTTTTCTCAAAAGATACTCCCAGGTAGCCTGTTTACCATAGGATCAACATGTAGGTCTAACTGACCAGTATAGTCAGTACAGTTAATTTAGTTTCACTGATGGACTTTCCAGTCCCCTGCAATGCACGTTAAAAGTGGACCTGAGAAATGGGTCCATAGAAGTTTTTTCATGGATTTTACTTACCTGACACGCTCATGAAGCTGCATGGTTGTAAACTCTGCAGTTGGGAGATTTACTTCCTGTGTCAGGTTTTTCAATCATTTTCATGATGACAGGTTTCAACTCTATCTTTTGAAATCTGATTTAAGGTACTGAATCATGTTCAGTAACAGTAAAGCTCTCAATAAAACAATTAAGAAAAAATTTAAAAATATTTGGTAAGATCTAATATGTGTCTGTGGGGTCCTGTTTTCCCCCTTTTCTTTATTTAAAAGGCCTGGTATAAATCATAATATAATTAGTTTAAATTATAAGGAGCCCTCAATCTCTTCTTGAGAGAAGGTTTCATAATATCTTAGAATATTAACCTTTAAATAGGGGTCTCAATTGTCCTTTTAGAAAATATGATTAAGGTTACTTCCCTCTGTGGGGAGTAGTATATAAATCTTACCATATTCTTTAATGAATAATAGGTTCAGTCAAAGAACTTACATAATACCAATGAATTTCCAACAAGTTTTGCAACTTCCATGTTCAAGACCCATGTACAACCTTGATTTGGAGAACATCAGTCCTAAGAAAATGTTCTCTCAAATCTCACAACAATCCAACAAACAAAAGTTATATGCAAGAATCAGCTGTGTCTTTGAATCATCAAACTTAGTCTCCAGGGAGAATTGTCAAAATTGGGATCTAAGTCAGCAGTTTAATATATTTAGTGTTTGATTAAAGATGTGAATTTATTCACTAAAAATAATCTTTGCCTTAAACAGTAAGAATCATTGGGAAATAAAGACCTTCCTTTAAGGAAATAAACTTAATATTTTAATAGGTCTTTATCATGTCAAAATATGGACAAAATCTCAGCTCACATCAGTATAGTAAAATCAGGGAAATAGCCTGAAATAGCCTTGAATTAATCAGCTAAAATTTTTATCGTCAGTGCAGTATATACAGCACCTGTCTAGATAATCATATGAAGATTTTCCTCTATAGTAAAATACTTTTATCATTAAAATCTAGAATATAAAGACCTTGTTTTACCCAAAGATGATTTCTGTTTTGTTCTGAGGACCTCCAATGTGTGTTTCCTCTCTGTTGATGCATCTTCTTTTCCTTTTAGAATTTTTCTTGGTTATACTTTGGAATAATTTTTGAAAACCTTAGAATCTAAACAAATTATTGTACTTTGATAAGAAATATCTCAATGAAAGTATAATTAAAGTCCGTGGATGTTTCTGTAGACAGAATTATATTTGTTTATTGTTTTATAAAGTTTGTACAATAATTTGAGAGTTAGAGATTACTCGGTGGTTGTTTTATCTCTTGAAAGCAAATTTATAGAAAAATAATTGATTTCAAATATCTGAAACTAAAAGGCAGAGTATCAGATAAATGCATGTAAAAGAAATATATAAATTTTGTATTTTCTATTTAAGAAAAACAACTAGATAAATATGTATTAATTAAAAAATTAGACATATATGTTAATTATTTTATGGAGTAATATAGGTTATTCAAATATCTAGAAAAATATATAATATGAATAAGGGCATAACTTATAATCGTATAAACTTCATGTAACCATGTGGTTCTTAATTTTGGATCCATTTCGATTTATTCTTAACTAGGAGTGCACTCTTATTTGATGTCACGTGATGCAGCTAAAATAAGATCCTTGTGTATATTTTATTCATTTTTTTAAAATTACATAGCTAGAATTGAAAAGAAAAAGGATTTTTTGGTCACCACAGGAACATTACCAGCTTTGTTTCTTCGACAAGCAAATGCATCCTCATAACCTTCAAAATTAGAAGCAAAATATAAAGAAGCATATGTATTTCTTATAATTGTTATATAGCTCTGCAGTTTTTCCTAATAGTGCTCGCTGCAGCGTGTGTTCTCCTATCTTTTGTATTTTCTCTTGCAGCACGTGGCACCTTAGAAGTGAGTTTTAATGGCAGACGCCAGTGTTACTATCAGATCTTAAGGCAGTCTGCGTTTGGCACCCAGGCCAGGTTGTTTAAGGGTTAAAGGCACTGCTGGAGGTGGGTCCAGTTACAGACCCCATAGGGAACAGCTGCTGAGTTATAGACATTCTGATCCAATGGGACAAGAATGTAGCAAAGAGGTTCAGTACACACTGAGTATTCACAAAAATAATAGAAAAATAAAATTCACCTCTCTACAGGTAAAGAATCCTTGTATCAAATCTCATCACAAAATCTTTTTTTCCTGTTTCTTACTCCCTAAGCACAGACTTTTAGTACATAAACCCCAAAAATCTTTATCTAATATTCCAAAATATAAATATTCAGAAAAAACAATCCAAAAAAGTCCATAAAAGTGCTTTTCCCATGGGAGAGGACTGAACCTAACATATCCCATTAATCGTCTTAATAATTTTTACATTTATTTAGGGTCTCTAGAATTGCAAAAATAAGGTTTTCTTCTAAAGACATAATATTCACAAATATTAAAAAAAGTTTAACGTCACAGATTTCCCTTCTGTCTACTTTCTACAATTCAGCCCACAATACTCTGACATCCTAAGCACGCTTAACTTCTGGAGAGAAATTCCAAACCCACTAAATTTCTAAAAATCACCCTGCAGTCACCTTACAGGCCACCGATTGTCACGTTCCACGACTCGACACTCAGGGTAGCTCCAGGTGAACTGGGCTGCGTGAAATAATTATACAGAGACAGCGAAATACCTTTTTCTCTGGGTCCTGAGATGGCTCCTCTGACTTTAGGGACCTTTCGAAAGAGAGAGAGGGCTCCTGTGCTGAACCCTTTTATTGGGAAGAAGCCATTCAAATGAGGCAAGGGGTCAGGTTTCAGGGGGCTGAGTCTAGCTCCATGATGTCTGCTGTCAGAGGGTGACCAGCATCTAGGGAGGTCATGGCCATCTATGCGCTGTGTGGGGATCATGGCAGAGTGAGCTAAGAAAAGACCAGAGCGAGGCCCACCCAAACAGTGGGGCAACGTGGGTCCAGGCCACCTTGGGTGCTCGGGGCCCACAGGTCACACACACAGCCCGTGGCTGGTGGCCACATCTCCACACTCTCATCACTCAAGGACCAGGGGCTGCGGCAGCTCCCACACTATTCTTCCTCTTTACTTCTATCCTCCCTCCCCCTTGGCCCTGACCTTTCCTCTAGCATTTTTCTTCTACTTTTATGAAATACTGCACTTAAAAAAATTTTTTTTTCTCTAACTTCTTCATGGGAGAGAAAATATTCAACCCTTGACTTTCTGAATCTGGCTTATTTCACTTAGCATGATGTTCTCCAATTCCTTTCATTTTCCTGCAAATAACATCATTTTAGTCTTCATGGCTGAGTAAAATCATATATTTGTCACACTTTTAAAATTTGTTGGTCTGTTGATGGACACCTTGGCTGGTTTCCTACCTTGGCTAATTGAAGTGTACTATCTATAGACATTGAAATTCGTGTACTGCTATAATACACTGATTTCAGTTGTTTTGGATAACTTGATGAAAGCTGTTACTGTTATAGTTAAAAAACAAACAAACAAATAAACCAGCTACTAAGTGAACTTGCAAGGAATTATATGCAATTTAATGGGTTAGAGAGCACTTGTGGAATAGGACATATTCAGTGAACAATGAACTTTGCAACTGTAAGGGGCTAGGACCCCATTTTAAATGGGCAACTGTTTGGCATCCAGTGGCACCTCAGTTAGTGTGTGGTACTTATGAATGGACAACTTTTTCTTTTTTTTTTTTTTTAAAGTGGACAACTTTTTGTGAACAGCAAAGTATAGACTTTCCCCATTTCACAATGCTGTGTAAATAAGAAGTATGTTAAATGGTGTAGTGTTTTCTTCAGTAGGCTCTGGGGTTGGAAAATTATGGAGGGAAAGAAAAAAGAAAAGGGAGGAAGAAAGATGAGAAGGAAAGCAGGGAAGAGGGAGGGAAGGAGGGGGTGGGGAGGAAAGACTCCACATTTCTCATTTAGGGATTCCCAATCTGAATCCAGAGGGAGACAGTGACTCGCTCAAGGCCACACAGGAACTGGGAAGGTTGAAATGGTTGCCCCATAGGCCTGCCCTCCGTGGACCCAAATGGGACAAACCTGGTTGCAGAGGAGCTTTGTAAGAGGCTCTTGGTGGAAGGAGCCTCACCCCTAAATTGCTCTGCATCCTTCCTGGAAGCCTGGAGTCCCACGGTTGCATTTTTCTTTGGTTTCTGGATTGTCCCCTGTTCACTCAGCCTTGCTTGGGGGGAGAGATGGAGGCGAAGCAGTGATTGAGAGAGTGGTGGTGAACTTCCCCTATTAAATCACAAGCCCTTTCCCGCATGTGGTGGATGGGGAAGTGTGGAAGGGAAGTAGGGAACCTGAGGACAGCTAGTTTCACATTGGAATTTTCCAGAGACACTGGTGACTGCAGAGGGTGTGGTTCTGGACTTGTGGGGACTCCCCCACGTTGATAGCAACAGCATTTACTGAATGCCCTGTTCTGCTGGCAGGGAGCTGGAGAAGGGTCTGGGTCACTATGGACCCCAGAGAGAGACACAGAGACAGTGGAGAGGTCATCAAGGAAGGTACTTAGGGCTTCATGCATCAGCTGACAGGGAACTGCTGTTTGCATGAGAAGGAGGTGATAGGGACATGACGATATGACACACAGAGGAACCATGTTCTATGCCCACGGTTGCATTTTTAATTTTGTAGTATGAAGTTCACACTCTACCTGGTAAAGCCCATGTGCTCCATGGCTCCTCTTTCCTTGTTTAGGATGAGCATCTTCTGTAGGTCAGAGAGCTCCTGCTGCCTCCCCTCTCTACCTCCCTCCTCTGTCTTGCTGATGTCACCCACCTTTGGGCCTTGGGGGCAGATCCTCCCACAGGCTGAGGCTGACCCTCCTCTGTATTTGTGGTTCCCTCTTCTAGGAAGTGGGAGTCTGGCCAGGCTGGCTGTCCAACCCTGGGCGAGCCAGAAGTCTCAGCTGTGCTCAGCCACTCCAAGGACTCTGTCCCTGCAGGCGGGACAGTTGGAGGATGAGACTCCATCAGCTGCTCAGGCCCTGGAGGGACCAGGTAACAGCTCAGGGAGGGGCAGAGCTCCTAGTGGGCAGGGAGATGGGGAGAGCTGACCGGCAGCATCCTGGGCTCCAGGACTGGCTGTGCCCTGTGTCACCAGGATGAGTCCACTCCCCAGGGACCCCCTGCTCTGTAACAGGAGGGGCCTCAACAGATCACCTCTGAAGCCCCTCCAGGGTGACCCAGGGCTTCCACTCACACAGGGCTTTCTGTGGCCACTGCAAGGCCTCTGCTCTGTCTTTCTCGTCCTG